CCGATCTAGGAGCTTGCCGGGCTTGTGCGCGCAACCCTATGCCATATGCCTGAAACCGTCCACCTAAACCCTAGCTTAAGAACCCAAAACCTACTTTTTTGTAGGGTCCCTATAAATCCCATATTAGGTTTTATAGTAAGAACCTACAAAAAAGTGGGTTTTGGGTTCTTAAGGTAGACCCTGAAGCAGTCTTGGATGAGGGGGAGGGGGTGAGCTGAGGAAATAAAGCCCGAAGCTGAGCCGCTGTCAACCCCGGTTGCCGAGAACGGCAACAAGGCCTGGCAGCAGCGCGGTTTCAAGTGTTCGACAAGGGGCGGGTCGTTTAAGGGGGTCGTTTAAGGGCTTGAAAAGAAAGAGGCCCGAACAGACAGCTATTCTATTTCTTCGGCTTCCGCCGCATTATCATTATTATATCGTAATAATACTAATTCTAATCATAAGAAAATAGTAATAATATACTCCAAAACCTACTTCCAGTTTCCGAGCCTCAGGATGCCAGAGGGGCTTTGCATAGAGGAATGAACGTCATCGTCTTCATCACCTAACCTCCAGCCCTTCAGTCCTAAACCCCTCAATCGGTTTAGGGTTTAGGGTTTAGGGTTTAGGGTTTAGGGTTTAGGGTTTAGGGTTTAGGGTTTAGGGTTTAGGGTTTAGGGTCCCTAGGCAGAACCTTCATCCGGTTCTTAGGCTTTGGGGATTTGATTGGGATTTGGGGGGGGGTTTTGGGTTGGGTTTTTCACCGTCTATTCCCAAAAACTTGTGCCCTGTAGCCGCTAAAACCCAAAATCCCAGATCCTGAACCCCAAACACCGGAACTCCATACCCTGTACCCTTAAGCACCCAAACCTCTGCAGCCCCTATTAGCCCCTGAAACCACCATGTGCCGAAACTCTGATGTAGAGGTCTGAATTCCTTCTTAGGCCCCTGCCTTGCAACTCGGACATTCTTTCAGTCCCGTGGCATCCGGGAATGTATGCATCATGCTTGATGCAGGTGTTACGGTTCAGTTCAGGGTCGAAGGTTAGGGTTTAGAGCTCGGGCTTGTGTGTTCCAGTGCTGAGTGCTGAGGGCTGGATTAGCAGATGGCTCTGCGTGAGATGTCTTTCTGCACTCTAAACCCCGAATCCCTCTGGCATAAGATGCACCTTTTGTCGGTAAAATTACAGGGTTTCAGAGTTTATAGGACACTAGGAGCATATGGGTAGTTTTCTATTTTAGGGTCCCTTCTTAGGTCCCCAATATAGTACGGCACCCGTATTAAAAAGGACCTCAGAAGGGACCCTATTTTGGAGAACTACCCATATTCTGATAGTTTCAGTCCCCCTAAACCCTAAACCCTAAACCCTGAACCCTAAACCCTAAAACCCCTTAAACCCTAAACCCTAAACCCTAAAGAAAGTTTCAGTCCGTGCAAGAAATCCTCAGCCCCGCTGCGAGGAGAAGGCGTCTGACGCCGAGATGGCGGAAGCTGCCAGGGAGCAAGCACCGGGTTGTTGTGGTGGGTTCAAACTTTATAGGGTTTAGGGTTTAGGGGTTTAGGGGTTTAGGGTTTAGAGTTTATAGGGTTTAGGGTTTAGGGGTTCAGGGGTTCAGGGTTTATAGGGTTTAGGGTTTCGGGTTTATACGGTTTATAGGGTTTAGGGTTCAATCCAGTTGTGAAGGGTTTCAGAGACTTTGCAGGGAGGAGCCGGAATGATCAGAGTGAGTTGTTGAGGTAGAAGACGACTATGATTATACAGGGAGTAGAAGGGGAAGACCCTAAACCCTAAACCCCAAACCCTAAACCCTAAACCCTAAACCCTAAACCCTAAACCCTAAACCCTAAACCCTATGTGGTGATTGAAACAAGGGCATTGCTTCTTGGCTCCCATCTTGGGGCTAGCACCGGGTTTGAGGTTCAGGGTTTAGGACCTTCCGGTTTAGCGTTTGGGCTTTAGGGTCCTGCCCAGATCAAAGTTCAAATGTTCTGGCCGTGGGGCTCTGGGGCTTTGGTGTGCGGCTTTGGGCTAAGGGGTTCGGAGCTTGGGTCATGCTTAGAATAAGACTTACCTGTGGCTTCGGGCTTTGGGTTCAGAGCTTGGGTCTGGTTTAGAAGCCTGAAGACTTACTTGTATGTTTTATAGGTACGTAGACTACCATGTAGCCCAGAACCGTATTCTGATCTTTAAGGCTCTTATTGCAGAGGCTTTAGGTTGGGGCTTTTGGCAATAGAGTATGAGGGCGGTCTGCAAGTAGTTTAGCTTTGCCGGTATGCTTCTCCAACGACGGCGGCACATCTTAAAGCCTAGGGCCTGGGGCCTAGGGCTTCAGGATTTTGGGGTTTGGGATTTTAAATCCGAAGCCCGAAAATCCCGAGGCCTTCAGCCCTAGCCGAGAGAGCAGTACCCAAACCAGGAGATCTAAGTCAGCGGCTCCCCCGAAAGTGTGTGCTTGTAGAGGTGCGACGTGTTGTTGCGCCACCACAATCACTAGTATACTTCTTCTGGATTGCTACATTCTTGCTATATACTCACATCGTATGTATATCCTTATCTAGACTAGGCCTCTGACCTGCCCCAAACCTCGATTTTCAATAAACCCTAAACCCAAATAACCCTAAACCCTATGCAAAACCCACGAGGATGATGCGACCGCCGAGAAGGAGGCGTCCAAGGACGCTGCTCCCAAGGAGGTTGCTGGCCAAGAGCCCAAGGAGGTGGTTGAAGATGTGTCCATGGAGGCAGCGTCGTAGGGTTCGGGCCTGGGGAGTGCAACCTCCACCTTCGGAACCGTCATATATTCACATATATATATATATATATTATATTATATTATACTAAATAAATAAATAAATATGTGTATATATATATATAATATTCAAGTATTCATAAGACATGAACCTATGAGGAAGCCACCGAGCGAATCGGCTTGTCTCCTAGACACTGGACCCGAATTCTCGTATACCCTAAACCCAAAGACCAAAGCCCCAGGATCGTGTACAGCCCAAATTATTAGCCGGCCTCAAACCCTAAACCCTAAACCCCAAACCCTAAACTCAAGCCCGAAAGAAATAAGCCCAACGCCTAAGCCACGAAGAAGGCGCCACCCCCG